GGATATTTGTGTCTTAAAGGGAATTGGTTCATTTCACCTAGATTATCACATTTGTGGGTGTAGAGTTGTTCACAAAATTCTTAAATTTTTTTAATTTTATGAAATGTTCTCTCATATATGTATATTTTATTATTGAAGTATAGTCAGTTTACAATGTTGTGTCAATTTCTGGTGTGCACCATAATGCTTCGGTGATACATGGGCATACGTATATTCATTTTCATATTCCTCTTCACCATAAGTTACAAGATATGGAATATAGTTCTGTGTGCTACACAGGATGAACTTATTGTTTTAAAGTTCTTTCATTGTCCTTTTAATGTCCATGGGATCGTATTTCATTTCTGACAGTTAATAACTTGTATCTTCTCTTTTTTTCTCGGTTGGCCTGGCTAGAGGTTTATCGATTTCATCAGTCTTTTCAGAGAACTACCTGCTGGCTTCCCTGACTTCCCCTATTGGTTTCCTATCTTTACCTGCGTTGATTTCGGCCCTCACTTCTGTTATTTCTGTTCTCCTGCTCACTTGGATTTAATTTGCTCTTTGCTGCGCCACTCCCAGCTTGTTGATGGAGTGCCTGTGGCATTTTCTAGGCCTGTATTATTGTAGTGAGCCTCGTAGACACCCCCACGCCTGCTGCCGGGACTGATGCTGTGGCTGGACCGGAACCTTGTGGTTCTTACTGTGACCAGAGGATGCACTTCAGCAAAACCATGAGGGAACGCTGAGGAACAAGATTCATTACTCACAGTTCCTGCAGGGCAGATGGCACACCCTACGGCCACACAGCTAGGTTGGAAGGGGAGAGGGAGAACCTGGGGCTCTGCCTTTATCAGGGTCTGAGGGGGCGGTGTCTGGGGCTTCACGTTCATCACTGGTAAGCTTGCAGCATAAGGGCGGGAATTAGGATGTAGGCTGGGTCATTCAGGTGCTCAGTTTCCTAGGTCACCCAGGGTTTTCTGAAAGGGGGGCTCCATGCTGGGGGAGCAGTTCCCTGCCTGGTTGTTTTGCTAGTAGCTGTGTCACATGGCTGGCGATATGTTTATTCACGAGCAGTATCTTCTGACGTAGGTGCCTTGGTAATCAGAGCTTCGTGCCAGGCACTTACACTCTTCGCCCCTTTGTCTTTGAGAGATCTTTTCACTGGGTGTAGAGTTCTAGGTCGACAGGGTTTTCTTCCCCCTTTCAGGATTTTAAATACGTTGCTTCCCTGTCGTCTTGCTTGTGTTGTTCTCAACAGGAAATCTGCTGTCAGCCTTATTTCTATGCCTTCATATATAATGCGTCTTTTTCCTCTGGGTATTTTGTCCTATTTTATTTTTCTCTTTATCGTTGGTTTTGAGAAATTTGACTATGTTGTGCCTTGGTGTAGTTTTCTTTATATTTCTGTGCTTGAGGTTCATTGAGTTTTATAGTTTTCATCAAATTTGGAAAAATCTCAGACTTTGTTTTGTCAAATTACTCTTTCTGTCCCAAACTGTCTTTCCTTCTTTCGGCGATACTAATTACACCTGTATTAGGGCACTGGGAGTTGTCCACATCTGCCATTGAGACTGTTAACTTTTTATTCTCTTTCCTCTCCGTGTTTTATTTGGGTTAGTTCCTACTGCTGTGTCTTCAGTCTTTTCTTCAGCAGTGTCCAATTTGCTGCTAAAACCATCTGGTGTGTTTTTAAACTGAGATACTGTAATTTTCAATTCTAGATATTTGAGTCTCTTTTCTCTGCTTAACTGTTTTCAACACTTCATATTCACTTTTAACAGCCGTGTCAGTGTCTTTGTCTCCTAACACTGAGATCTACATCAGCTCTCGGGCCAGTTCCAAGTGCCCGATTTTTCTCCTCAATGTGAGTTGTCCTTTTCTCCGTCTTTTCTCCTGATAATTTTAGATCAGATGCCAGGTTTTGTGAATTTTACCTTGCTGAGGGTTGGATATTTTGCGTTCTTAAAACTATTCTTGAGCTTTGTTTTGGGGCACAATTAGAAGGATATAGTTTGATTCCTTCAAATCTTTTTTTAAATCTGTTAGGTGGGGTCTGTGCAGTGCCCGGTCTGGGGCTAATTATTCTTCAACACTGAGGCAAGGACTTTCTGTGCAGTCAACCCAATGTCCCCTGAACCAGGAGGTTTTCCAGTCTGGCTTATGGGGGCCTCACCACTTCCTGCCTTGTGACTGTGAGCAGCATTACCTCTAATCCTTCCAGGCAATTCTTTCCCTGGACTTTGGTTGTTTCTTCACATACAGGTGCTGATTAGTTCTCTACAGGATACTGGAGTGGTCTCCTGCAGGTCCCAAGCTCCTGTTTAAGGTAGCCCTCTCCCCACCAGCACTCTGCCCTGTGCTCTGCAGTCTCAGTTTTATCTCCTCAGGTCAGGGCGTCTTCCAGGCTCTGCTTGGTCCCCTGCTCTGCACTGTGGCCTGGAGTGGCGGGGGCGGGGGGGTGGTGGTGGTGGTGGTGGTGGTGGCAATTGCAGGGCTCAGCCTATCGGTTTTGCATTTCACAGGAGTCACTGAGCTTTGCTACATAATGTCCAGTGTCCTGAGAACTGTTGCTTCACATATTTTGTCTATTTCTTTGTTGTTTCAGCAAAGAGGGCAAGTCCAACTTCTGTCACTCCATCTTGGTCAGAGATTCTTAGCAGAGTTTCAGTTTGGAATGATGAACAAAGTCTGGAGATAGATGTTGGTGATGGTTGTACAACAAGGAGCATGAACTTGATGCTGCTGAACTGCATACTTAAAAATGGCTAAAATGGCAAATTTTATGTTATCTATATATTACCACACACACACAACCCTTAAAATAAAATAAAAAGGGCCACTTGAACCAAGGGAAGTCTTAGTACACCTCTATGATAATGACAACAGAGCCCTAAATGTGGCTCCAACCACATGAATACTGGATACATTCCTGCCTCTGGCTCTGCACGCCTGTCCCTGTGCTGGGGACTCTTTTTCCAGATCTGTCAACCATGGGTGGCCCACAAGTCACCCAACCAAAGCCCACAGCCTTCAGTAAGGTTCCCCGATACCTGCCAGAGACACCTCACAGCTCCCCATGGTGTGCACCTCACTCCCTGGGACAAGAAATAATCCCAGCTCATCCAACTATAGGTGTGTCTGATGGCCTTTGGTGGGGCACTGACATCTCTTTTACAGACAGGGAAACGTTGACAGGACTGGCTACTGTCAGGAAGCAGGATTAACTCAGTGAATGGTATCTCTGGGGACAGGGCAGAGGGAAGCTCTGCTGTACTGACAAGGAGCAGGGCTCACTGCTGTTGGCTGGGAGAGGGCACGTTGGTGGCACAGGGACCTGGCTTTGGTCTGTGCTTTGACACAGTTATGACGTGGCCCTGTTTTGTCTCCCTTTATCGCCGTGGAGCTCCTCTGCAAGATGCCCATGTCCAGCAGGAGAGCCACAGGGCCTTGTTGCGAGAGCCAGGCCAACTCCCATTGTCGGGGCTGCTCTTTTCCTCGGGGGGCACGCTAGTATTTACTTCCCAGAAATAACCTGTGTAAAGTGCTTAGCATGACACTCTAGGGAGATGAATACCGATGGTATGTTATCTATTATGTATACTAGGCATATATGAGGAAGACCACTCAGCAGAGCCCAGGGAGGGGTGGTGGGATGGGAGGCAGGAGCCCTTTGAAGAGGCTATAGCATGGCCCAGTAGAGATGATGGAAGAAGGATAAGGTGGGGAGGGTGTGTATGAGGGGTATCCCCTCCCAGCAGGGAGAGGGTCAAGGATGGCTCCAGGGCCTCTGCAATTCGAAACTGTCACAGGAAACCACAGGCACCCAGGTAGGAAGGATTCTGAGAGCCAGCGGGAAGGTCATGAGGTTGGTGGCAACCAAAGGGCCATTGATCAGGGCTGTGGACCACCAAAGGAGAAGCAAGCCTTCCCCAGAACGATGGAAAGTGGTGAAAACCACGCCCCCAGGTGGAGCTCAAGTCAGGGGAGGAATGTGGGTGCAGCAGGGACCCAAGTCTTCTCCTCCAGAGCAGCAATGCTTGGGGTGCCTTATAAGACTGTGTTTGAGGAAAGGGTTCTGCTGCTAAAAACTCACGTGGAAAACCTATGTGAGGTTTGGTCTGAAGCAGAAGGAAGACAGGCAGATTCCAGAGTTTACTGGGCAGGCTGGCTACAAAGGGATGGTGGCACCAGGTGGCAGAAGATTGTAGGCCCCAAGGCGGCTGTGGGTGGTTGGGGAGGTAACACTGAGGATCTGCCGGTGGGCCAGAACGCACAGGCAGGTCCCTTGAAGGTCGCTGGACTGATGTCCAGACCACTCTCACAGGAAGGGCTGATCAGACAGCCTGTGCAGGGGCCACCTGCCTGGCCAAGAACATCTCCAAGCCAGCTGCTGTGGAGCACAGCTTCCTGCTCTGAGATCAGGTCCACCTGCGACCCTCACCCACTCTCGCACCACACGCAGGGTGGGAGGCGGCAGCCCGCTAAAGCCCAGTAGGGTGAGCGGGCAGGCCTGGGCCGGCGTGGACCCCTCGCAGGTGTGGGGACGGCATGGGGTTCCCACCCACTTCTGCTCTCTGTGGCCTGTAGCCATTGGACCCTCTCTTGACACCGCTGGATCTTTCTCATCCTGCAGATCTTCGCTCGAATGGCCCTTTGGTGTCACAGAAACCACAACAGCCACCGCCACTGGGTTACTGCCCGTCACCTCTGTTTTCCTTTCTTCCTCAATTGTTGGCCCCCTCGTGGAATGTTACTTCCACGGGAGCGAGCCCTGCTTGCTCTGCTCGCAGCTAGGTCCTGGCTCGCGGTGGGGCGGGAAGAGACAACGCTCACCTTCGACCTCCGCATCCCTGTCAAGCCCAGGTTCGGCCGCGACGTCGGGGTGGGGCCCACCGCGGC